CTCGTGTGTGCTTATGGCAATCTCGGCAATGCTTATGACTCCCTTGACAAATTCCAACTAGCAATAGAGTACCACAAGAAACACCTGAGCATTGCCAAGGAAGTCGGCAAAAGGGCCTGCGAAGGAGGTACTTGCCTATTGCAATCTCGGCAATGCTTATAGATCCTTCAGCAAATTCCAACTAGCAACAGAGTACCACAAGACACACCTGAGCATGGCCAAGGAAGTCGGCAAAAGGGCCTGCGAAGGAGGTACGTGCCTATTGCAATCTCGGCAATGCTTATAGATCCCTCAGCAAATTCCAACTAGCAACAGAGTACCACACGGAACACCTGAGCATTGCCAAGGAAGTCGGCAACATGGCGGAAGAAGGGTGTGCTTATGGCAATCTCGGCAATGATTATCAATCTCTTGGCAAATTCCAACTAGCAGTAGAGTACCAAAAGGAACACCTGAGCATTGCCAAGGAAGTCGACAAAAGGGCCTGCGTAGGAGGTGCCTATGGCAATCTCGGCAATGTTTATCAATCTCTCGGCAACTACCAGCTAGCAGTAGAGTACCACAAGAAATGCCTGGATATTGCCAAGGAAGTCAGTGACAGGGCCGGAGTAGGACATGCCTATATATGGTTGTCTCGGCAGGGATTATTTCTCTCTCGGGGACTTCGAAAGGGCAATAGAGTACCACAAGGAAGACATGACCAAGGAAGTCGGCGACAGGGCAGGACAAGGACGAGCCTGTGGGAATCTCGGCCATGCTTATTCTGCCCTCGACGATTTCCAACAAGCAAAAGATTACTACGAGCATTGTCTGAGCATTGCCAAGGAAGTTGGCGACAGGGTCGGCGAAGGACATGCCTATTATTGTCTTGGTACTTCTCTTTTGGCTGAGGGTTGTTTGAATGAAGCTTTATTTCATTTTAAATCCAGCGTAGAAACCATTGGTACTATCAGCGCGAGCTGCATTTCGGAAGACGTATGGAAAATAAGTTTTCGTAAGCTCTTTAAAGAAGCATGCAATTGTTTATGGCAACTTCTTATAAGGCTTAAGTTGACAGATGAAGCTTTATACACTGTCGAAAGGAGAAGAGCACAGGCTTTGCTTGATGCCTTGAAAATAAATTATGGCTCAAAACCACTTTCGTTCAGGTCAAATGAATCTGAAGAAGCAATCGTTTCATTCTATGGAAGATATCTGTTTTGACAGCTTTTATGACTCTGGAAAATAAAACGATAAATATGTGGGTACTGGGCTAGGAAAAAGACACCATTTTTAGGGTAGTGGAGCTGAAAAATGGAGGTGAACACGAAGATTGCTTTGCTTCGCTTTTAGAAACTACTTTGAAAAACATGAGGGCTGGCGTCGATGTTAGGTGCGAGAACAAATTGTAAACGCAACTGCCAGTGCAAGAAACGATGAAGAAGGACTAGTGCCATTGCATAAGACTATCAACTGTTTTCAGTCACTGTATGATGGAGTCATTCGTCCCATTGCAGACTTTCTTGATGGAGCTGAACTCATTGTAGTCCCTGATGGCGCTTTGTCCTTAGCTCCTTGGGCAGCGCTGAGTGAATCTTTAAGGATCCGCACAGTTCCCTCTCTTACATGTTTTAAACTTATTATAGATTCTCCAGATGATTACCACTGTAAAAGTGGCGCCTTACTTGTTGGAGATCCATGCCTGAAGAAAGTTACAGATAAATGGAATAATCCCATTTATAATGAGCTACCATTCGCAAAGAAGGAAGTGGAGATGATTGGAGAAATTCTAAACGCCCAGCCACTTACCGGAGAAGTTGAAACTAAAAAACAGGTGCTCTGAAGGATAAGGTCAGTCGCTTTGGTTCACATTGCAGCACATGGAAGCAAAGAGACTGGTGAAATTGCTTTGGCTCCAGAAACCGATTGGCAACCCAAGAATCCTATGAGGAAGGACCATATATTGAAAATGTCTGATGTACAGGCTATCAATCTGAGAGCGAGGCTAGTTGTGCTTAGCTGCTGTACTGTCACAGGGGTGAAGACGTGGTCTCTTCTGAGGGTGTGGTGGGTATGGCACGAGCTTTCTTGTTTGCTGGTGCTCGCTCCGTGCTGGCTACTCTCTGGGCAATTGATGACGAAGCCACCCAGGTGTTCATGAAACGTTTCTATCAACATCTAAGAAATCGTGAAAGTGCTAGTACTGCTCTGCAGAAGGCCATGAAAAGTCTTCGAGACTCCGACAAGTTTTCCGCCCCGAAGTGCTGGGCTCCATTTGTGCTGATTGGCGATGACGTTACGATTGACTTTGCTTAAAATCACTGAGAACTTAGTAAGTAGAGGCTTTTCTTTGAACTTGCTTACTCTGCTTAAAGTCCCAATAACAGAAAGTACAAAAATGAAAACGTAATAGTTAACGTTTAACGGATTCGGAGGACTTTATTATAACTGTTAAGAAAGGTTCAATCAAATATGCAGAATAAAGATATGTGGTTATTTCTCTAGACGTACTAAGTATATACATACTGTACGCATACTCTGACTAACTAACTTTGCACTGCATTCGCACCTTTGTTATCGTCGTTGTCAGGGATAGGCTTATAATGCACTCCATATAAGGTCGAAAATAAGTCAAGACGAGCGCGGTTAAAATACCTCAACAGTTTTCGGAACCAGGATAGGACATTTTGAGAGTAGGTGGTCTTTCTCAAGTGACAAACAAGAAATAGAACTGAATAACAGTTAGGGTTATAGTGCCTAATGAAAATAACTTTCTTCATCTACAGTAATACAAAAAGAGTCGGATTTTCGGGGACGCTTAAGATGGCGAATAACATACTTGAGAGCACAGACCTCTTTGTTTTGTATGTTTTGTTTACCCAATTCGGACACTTGAGGTTCTCAAGGAATTGGCCTTTGTCGTTTCACAAATTATTATGAGAACTTAAATAAAACGACCTTTGAAAGAAAGAAGTTTTCTGAAGTAACATCATATGATCTGAAATTGGGAAACGAAACATACAAGCTAAAAAGGTCTCAGAGACGATGGGTATAAAAGATAAATGTAGTAAAAACGCCTGTGCGAGTTTGATTTTACTCTTCACAAGTCTCTTATATTAGGTCGAGAGTACAAAATAAAATATACTGATTGACTTAATGAAATTCAAGACCATCACTATGACCATGTGCTCGGTTAAATTTCTGAGTGTTAGAATTTTGTCATTTTATTCTGCTTCAATTGCACCTAATCTTTGACGTCGTGCAATTCTCAAGGCCTCAAGAGTTTCCTTATAATTGCAATTGCAGGCGCTATTTCATAGAAGTGTTTAAATGCATAAAATGTTTTTTTTTTAATTTCAGGGTTGCGCTGAATGCCTGATGTCAAAGAAAACTGCTGAAGTAGTGCGTCTCATACAAATGACTTCTTGTAAGAAGACCGGGAGATATCAAGAAAGTTCAACTTTCCGGTTTTTGTGTTGATTTTACTCAAATATTTTGTTGAAAAGTGAGTTTTTAAACCGAAACTTTAAAAGCGTAGGCTAAAATCTGTTCGCCCTAGGGGTTTCGGGAGGTTAAGGGGCGAATGAGTCAATCGCGGTTTTTAACCTACATGTACATTAGCATATGATTTGGCTTGGAGAGCATAGGATTGTCATGCCAAACTTATAAAATACAATCTTATTTTGCTTGCGAAAAAAAATTGTTTTGCTAATTATTGCCACCTTAAACCTCTTACTAATGTCGTTAAATATTTAGACTCAGTTTTAAAAAACTGATAACCTGGCACCACATCCTTAAGCCATATCAACATTAATACGTTTTCGAAAACTTTCGTTTCTCTGTGTATCAGATACACAGAGACTTTCGAACTGTGCATCAGATTAATTGTAAGTATTTCAAAAACTTTAGCGCACCATTGATTTAACGTTTTTATTGAGTTGTTATTGTAAAAGTAGGGCTAAGGCTGTTTATCAGCCAATTGTCCAGCAACGTGCAGTGGTTTGTGCTGTGTTTAAAAAAAAATTACATCGATCTCTCAGCGAAGGCTACTCTTTCGAGAATCTGACGAATGTTTTGCTTACCGTATAACTAGTTGGCATTTTTTTAGGCCATGGACTTGGAGTACGGCCTCGTTTAAACAAACCCCAGCACGTTGCGTGGTATTTTCTACAGTTTCTGATGTTACCTTCAACTTAGTACACGTGTAATGTCGTAATAAAACTAAAGAAAATGAGACTGAATTTTTTGTGTGTTCGAAGATGAGGTCGAAGATCTCTCCGATGTCAAAACACATTTCAGAAACCTTTTCCCTGACACTTTTGAAAAAACAAACCACTCCCCTCCAACAACACTTCGTTGTCGCAAAGATCCTCACATATTATTTTAGGGCATATTTTTGATTAAATTTGTTCTTAACCATCTGACTCACCATGGTAACTACTTTCCCTTCCACACGTTGTGATGACAATCATTTCATATCCTCACGCCACACTAAGTCATAAGGAACATGAAAGCACTGAAGGAAAAAAAATCATAGTTCTTTGTTCCAGGTTCCAAGATGATGGCCAATGCATTTTTGATTTTTGAATCACCCTCAAAAGTAAACTCGCCTTTTCATTTTTGTCCTTTTGGAGGGTACCTCATTCAGCAAAGGAGTCTTACTCTTGTCTGGGAACTTGTTTATTTCCACAGCACCAACCCCCACCCTTACGAGATTGTTCCCCCTTAACTCAATAACAGCATCCACCACTGTTCTTTCAACAAAAACATTTCGAGCGAGAAGTACCTATACAGCGAACGGTCATATTCGATAGAGGATCAGGGAGGAACTCCAGGTCATCCTGAAAAAAATTGGGAGATCTTCCCATTTTTGGGGGAGATTGTCACAATAAATGTGACATTTATGAAGATTTGGGCTGTAAAATACCTTAAGCTGCGTACAAACGGAAGCAACAACTCCCAACATTGTTGGAGGTTAATTGTTGCGTCCGTATTGGAAGTGGTGTGCAAATGGATGCAACAACTCCCAACAATGTTGAAACTGCAGTGCATCGTGGGAAGGATACAGCCGATAAAGCCCTGTGCAAACGGTTGCAAGATTGATGGCCACGAACAACTCCCAACAGTGTTGGGAGTTGCAATTTTTGCGTCCGCTTTCACTTAGCTTAAATTCGACAGCAATCTTGGCGCGCACGTGGCCTTAACAATTTTGGAAGATCTGTGCAAACGATCCAACATTGTTAAGCTACGCTTCGGCGATCACGGTACAAAAGAAATGTTGGGTGGCTCAAAAGTTAGACCGGTTTCAAAAACTCTGCGCAACGACTCCCAACATCACGCAAAAACATGCCGAAGGGTGTGCAAACGGAAGCAACATGTAACATCCAAAAATGTTGGGGGTTGTTTTCAAAAGGGATATCTTTTTCGTGAAAACTGGTGTATAAAAGGGTAAGGGGTTGGATCTCGGGGCGGACCCTCCCCGTATAAACATTTCTTAAGTACCCACCCCCCGGGACTACACGTGGTGATTTAAAATTGCCTTTCATGTTCTACTCTCTTTTCTGTGTTACTCCGAAATTGTCGCTTGTCGCTTAGTTCTCGGACTTCAGTTTTACATGCATGCCCTCCAATTCCCGGCAAAATGTCCACATTTCAAGATGTATTTTCTTAGTTTTTTCGGAACAGGCCACCGGATAGTGCTGTCATCCCCCGTATGTGGTTTCCAGTCTGCTGTAAGACAGCTAAAGGTTATAGCTTGGAAGGCATTGGCAGAACATTAAGAAGAGGTGAGAATGTCTAGATCTGAGTATGAGGCGTTGAGGGGAAATGGTTAAACGACATATGCGATTATATAGAGCTTCAATCGAGCGAGATGATCGAAGTAGAAACGTTCAGGCTTTTTCTTCTACCCCTGGAACTACCTCAGAGATAACATTATTTTCAAAGTTTCAAATATTAAAGAAGGAGCTGCTAATATGTTACATATGTACTGTCCCCTTGCTGCTTCTTATTACTCTTAAGCGAAGTTGAAAAGGGGTTATGACGCATTGTACTGAGCCATATTCCGGCACTGAACATTTCGTCCATATGAACATTTTGCAGGAAACTCTCTCTTTAGTTAACGGACACTTCTATTAGAAGGACACCAGTAAAAAACGGATCGACATCTAGAGTTGGGCCCTGCCGTTGTTAGTAATCTCATAATATTGTTGAGCTTAAGCTGCAAAAAAGTGAATTCGCGCTGCCTCAAACTTTATCGCGCTTATTCCATCTCGTTTAATTCGTCAAATGTTGGCAATTTTTTTGGAGCTGAACTCTAAAGAACTGTATCAAAGTTCAGGAAAAGAAAAATAAAGTTGTTGCCTTGTGTTCCCTTCCTTGACAAAACGTGAAATTAGGCACTTAAACGTTGTAGTCGTGCAATGACGGCAAAGAAATGTACAAAAAAGCTTGATGCACGTGCAAAGTTGATGTTTTGCTACTATAAACCTATTGCTTTTTTGCTGTTCTAGTTGCCGTTGCCGTCGCCGTTGCTTAGGCTCCCCATTAAAGAGCTTAAGCAACGACGACGGTGACGGCAACTTGAATGTCATAGAAGGCTTCTGTATGTGTATTCGTCACATTTCTGATACATTTCTTGCCGTCACTGCACTACTACGCAGTGTATAGTCTACATGGAAGAAACTTTCTTATTTCGCGAGTTTTATGGAGGACGTTAGGACAAGACGACGATTTTCTCCGTTTTTTCCTATGAAGTTGGATCAGTATAGTCCTTATAAATACAACTCCAAATAATTTTTTCCAACATTTGAAACATCGAGGTGAATTGAAATAACAGCGATCAAGTTTGAAACAGCGCGAATTCACTTTTTTA